AAGAAATGATGAACTAGAAACCACACTAAAACAAGAAACAAAGGGGTCTAAGTTATTAATTCCTGTGTGTGATTTAGTGTGCGTTCGTTCTATAAACGTGTAGGTTTTGCGCCCAAGGAAGCTGGTTAGCTTGCTTATAGCCCTGTGATCTGTAAGTAACAATGTTGTAAAGCTACGTTGATTACAATTATTTTCTGAATGATTAACTGTACTGCCTTCTGAATGGTATTGTTTACTAAATGAATGTTTATCCTATTTTATGAACCGTACTCGTGGGCATCTATAGCAATTGACTGTTACTTGTTACTGTTACTGCTACTGTTACAGAGATCTCTATCAGTTCCAATGTTTGGAACTACTACTGTTTACTGTTTTGATGGCCATCAACTGACTGTTCGGTCTATTAAGACCTACTGTACTGTTCTGCTATTGGATGTACCACGTATGACTGTTATGATTTCTAAATGGCTGAATTGACACGAAAATATGGGATATTGGATGAATAACTGATCTATTGATGCAAACGATTGTTTACTTACCGAAAGGACATTCATTCTTAACCCCTTTACATATTGTTATTTACTGGGCTGTAGCTCACAATTTTATATATATGTAGGTGTGGGTCAGGCACCGGACCAAAGCTAGAGACGCCAACCCAAGCTCATGTTTTGTTAAGCCAGCCATTGTCCTCACTTCGAGGTTCCAAGTCTACACGAGCCAAGCTTTTGGGTGTTCCTATCCACCCTTTTTGTTAAGTGTAATGAATGTTTAAGACTTTTGATTATACAGTTATGATGGGGGAATTATGTCCCTAACCGTATGCTACTTTGTATCTGTGTTTTTGGTATATCCATATGTATGGCTATGAATGCAGTTATGTCCACGAAAGTTTTTCCCATTCAGGTTCTCACAGCTCATGGACGATTTAACTTATTAATGATTGGCTTTCGCCAGCCTCATTGTACGTGTACTAGTGTCATATCTGTTAAGCAGGCCTTTGGTAATCACGGATTACTGGTCGGTTACAATGCTAAACCCTTAGGGGCGGGTTTGGGCGTAACATTTTCCTTTCCAAATTAATCATGTAACATATTTCTTTTTTTTTATGTTTTACCGTGTACAACCATTTACACCTAACTGGATTTTTCCTCGAGGGTAACTCCACTAACTCCCAAGTGCTGTTCTTGCTGAGAGCTTCTCATTTTTTCCATCATGGCATGTTTTCTATTCAGAATAGAGAGGAGCATCTTGAAAAAGTTGTTTAAGTGTGCAACCCCCTTAAGGTTGCACATCATATGCAACCCAATTGTTAGCCGTTAGATTACAATAATTGATCAAGACCATTGAATTGTTTAATCGTGAAAAAGTTGAAATCGGGGCAACTGGTTAATGCTTGTATTTGCATGATTGCATCCTACTCACTCTCTCTATTTCGTCTCTATCTCTCTCTGTTATCCTCTATGTGTAAGGTTGAGTTAGTGTAACCCTTGATTTCCATTAACAGCGAGAATTCCTTGCTGGGTTCCATTGACGAAACTCTGTGGGGAACAGTATAACGGGCAATTTCCAACAACAACGGAACTACAAGGTTGTGTTGGTTCCATTGCTGAAGTGAAGGTGTTCTCTCCAACTAGATATGAGGTATGGAGTTGTCTCCCTCTCTCTGTCTCCCTCTCTCTAGCCTATTCACTTCAGCTATTTTCCCTCAACTAAACCCCCATCCTAACTTCAACCCTCAAACGGAAACCCTTCATTGGCAACTAATATTTTTCTTTCTCAAGTGAGTGTTTGTGTTTGCACAAACAATTAAATCGTGTGAAAATGTCATGTTTGTGTTTGTATTAACATTTTTCAGTCATCAAGTAATTGTTTGTACTAATGTCATGTGCAGTATGGCCCCAGCTGAAGTTAAAAGGGGAGGTGATGATTATGACATTCCAAATGAAGCAGATGACACTCGTTTGATCAATGAAAGTCGGGCGGAACCTTATCGTGGTTGCCAAGCTGGTTCGAGCAATAAAGAAGCAACCGACATGAACGTTGAAGATGGCGGAGTCGATGTAAAAAAAGAAATGATTGACGATGCTCATCGCAATGACATGGTTAGTGATGTTGAACGTGCTATTCTAGAACAGAAATTTGATTCGGTCGAAGATGGAGAAGCTTTTTACAATGCGTATGCTAAAGCAAAGGGATTTAGTATATGAAAATCCAAATTTAACACAAATAAAGAGGGAAAGGTTGTTAGTAGGCTGTGGTTGTGTTCAAGGGAAGGTCAGAGATTACCAAAATACTCGAACCGTGTTGCTAAGAAGAGTAGAGCTCCCAAGGCACTAACAAGAGTAGGTTGTAAAGCCCAATTTTATATACGGTACGATGCAGATGTTGGTGAAGGGAGAAAGTATGTTGTGACTCACTTTGTCGCAGACCACAACCTTGAATTGGCGGAACAACACTGTGTGATGTATTTGAGGTCACATCGCAGTTTAAACAGCGCTGACAAAGCTCAAGAAATGGCTATGCGCAACGTCGGTGTGAAGACTAGCCAAATCATGGACTATATGGTAAATCAATCCGAGTCTTATGAGAATGTTAGTTTCATCCGTACGGATCTGCACAACCATATTCAAGCCGAACGTAGAGCAGAAGTTGAGGATAGTGATGCGCAGGGTGCATTGGTTTACCTATGTGCAAAACTTGATGTTGACGCACGTTTTTTTTACAAGTATGATGTGTGTAAGGATAACAAGTTACAAAATCTATTTTGGGTAGATTCGAAATCGCGGGCTGACTACGCAAAGTTTGGTGATGTGTTGATATTTGACTTAACTTACAGAACCAATGCATACAAGAAACCTTTTGTCATATTGGCTGGTGTGACTAACCACTTTAGGACCACGATATTTGCATGTGTTCTGCTAGCTAATGAGACAATTGATACATACACATAGGTTTTGGAAACATTTATGGAGGCGATGGGCAATAAAGCACCTGTGTCCCTACTGACAGATGGAGATAAGGCGACGCGAGAGGCAATTAGAAGAGTATTTCCAGACGCAAGACATCGATTATGTAATTGGCATCTTGGAAAAAATGCTATTTCAAATGTTCACAAAAGTGGCTTTGCACATGCTTTCAAGCAGTGCATGGACATGGAAACAAATGAGGCAAAGTTTGAGCATGGCTGGACGAGAATGGTCGAAAAATTTGGACTTCAAACCAATAGTTGGGTGTTAGAGACATATGAGAAGCGTCATGTGTGGGCTGAGGCATATATGCGTGGACATTTCTTTGCTCGGATGAAGAGCACTCAGCGCTCGAAGAGTATAAATGCTTATTTCAATCCATTCCTCTAACACAAATTGAAGCTATATGAATTTGTTAGACACTATGATCGGGCTCTTGCATGGATAAGGTATAACGAGGCTGGAGATGATGCTGAAACAAATAACACTTTACCGGTATTGATTACCCCATTGCGAGATGTAGAGAGACATGGAGCTGAGCTATTCACCCGAAATATATTTAGAATGTTCCGTCATGAAATCTTAGAAGAGGGGAAGTTGAATGTCAAGGATGTGTTCAATTTGTCGGATGGTCAAAAATGCTACTATATTCATAATTACAAGGTGAAGGATAGGTCATGGATAGTAACACACAATCCAGTGGATGCTGCAATGAGATGTTCTTGCACGAAGTTTGAGTCGTTGGGCCTACCTTGCTGTCATATGATATGTGTTATGAAAGCCGAAAATTTAACGCAAATTCCCCCAACTTGTGTGCTGCATAGATGGACAAGGGCTGCGAGCAAGGATGGCCAGCAATGGCCTCAACCCTCAATTGATAGCACTACAACACAGACGGCCCGATATGGGATATTGAGTTCTTCCTACAATAAAATGTGTTTTTATGCCTCGCAATCAAAGGAAGGTTTCAAAGAGGCTAGGGATGCATGTCTTCCAATGACAAGCCGGATGAAAGAGTTATATGAGAGGAATTTGAACAATGGGGATGGAGACAAAGGGAAACATTCAATCCCACGACAATTTGGAGTAGAAGATCCTGATCTTGTGAAGACAAAAAAGAACCCGGGACGGGCCTCGTCCAACTGTTGAGGACCAAGAAAATGTGAGAATTGCAAATGCATCGGGCACACAAAGCGAACGTGTCCTAAGGTTTGGTTTAGCCGAACAGTGGGTAGTAACTCAGATGCAGATACAACCCACGTCACTGACAGTGAGTACAATGCAGAGTCATTGCCCATTTGCTGCAAAACTGCGTTGGTGGATCCAAGTACATCGCACATTAAGCAACGACGACTATTTTTCGATGTTTCTCCTGATTCCAAAAAACCTGTGGGCCAATATGGTAGTGTTGACGCTACAGTATGCAAAAATGATTCGACCACAATTGATGAGGTGAATCAGGTAATTGCATAATTTGTATGATTTACTTATTTCCTTAATTTATTAGGTAGACAGTACTAGCTATTGAAAACACATGTAAATAATGTACGTAGTTTTCATTTTGCACGGATTGTTGTACGTAACATGTAAATAATTAGTACGTACAATGCCAGGAAATGGCACAACATTACTTATGTACAAGGCCACGAGTTGTAAATTTCCCATATTGTTTAGAGTGATATTGTCTGAAAAGGATGAAGACTTCTTTTGATGAACTGATGGTAACAAAGTAAACAAGTAAAATGAACTTTCTGATATGAGCTGATGGTAAAGTTCACCCAGTGACAAAGTACAAATGAGAAGGAAAAAAACTACTAAGAAGTTACAATGTAGAAAGTAAGTTGTTGTGTTGTTGTTCATGACCTCTCTCTTTGCAAACCTTCTACCCTTTATAGCTTTTATTTCCCACGACCCCATGATCTGCCGAATCTGCAACTGCTTCTGTGCAACTTTTGTAACTGCACGGTCATTTCCGTGTCTTGAAACCACATAAAACCTTCACTTGTACCTGTCGAAGTGCATATCATTGAAGTTGCCACATGTGCCCAAGTCCTTTTAGCCTTTCCTTGATAGATACAGACTCCCAATTCGTTCATGTTTTCTCTTGGAGGCTGGCTACTAAATCCATGAGTACTACAAGTAACTGCTCCACCGTGTAAGTCAAGTGGCATGCAAGATTCAATGTTAGTTGATAACCCTTGTCTTCAGGTGGACTTGCCATGTGTCCTCAATTGAATGGAGCAGTTGTTGGCAGGATGTGGGAAAAATAGGTGCAAAGGGCAATTTTTTAAAAATAACCAATCATAATTTAGCTAAAAATATGAGTGAACTTTTTTTTTTTAAAAAAAAAGTAGTTTCCATTTGTATGATTATAAACCCGAGATGTATATTTTGTTTTGGATATAAATAAGTTGTGTATTTTGGTTACGTAAAATGTAGGACAACAATTGTGTTTAAGTCATTACAATCCAGAAAAAGGTTGTTTCAAATATTAACAAGTTTGCCGACATTGAATATATTTTGATTAAATTACAGGGAAAATTTAATATTTGGTAGAGTTTGATGATTCAAAGTCAGGGGTAGTTACAATAAGTGGCCAAGTGTTGTGGTTCAGTGGCCTAGTTTGCAAGGATTGTGGTTGTGTTTAGTGGACAATATTCTGTCGATTTTTGTCTCATAATAATGAGGGACATACCCCACAATGGTGAAAATGAAAGTCGACAGGGAAGAGTCAATATTTGGCAGAGGGAACTTGAAGATTCGAAGTCAGGGGGCAGTTACAGTGGCAGTTATGGTGTAGACGTGTGAGATCATGCAATGATGGGCCACAAAAATAGTATACGGATATCAAAACCAACGATCTCCCTTCTAGGCTTTCCAAGTATACTAAACCTCCACTTCTATCTGTCAATCTCTTTTTTCTTCTGTTTATTTCATGGCCACCAACTATTTGAAACTTCTGTCGACAGAGCAAGGCTCCTACTTTGTCTCATGCTTCCTCCTGAAAGTGTGCCCACTAACTCCATGACTGGTGCTAAAAACTTCCCCTATCACTTCTAGGTGACCCACATGCAGAGAACCCACTTTCAACTGGTGGACATTCCTTTAGACTTGGCCACGTGTCCTCTATTAAGTGGACCATCTGTCGACAGAGACTAGCAAAACTTGGTGCAAACAATGGCCCCCTTGTTCAAGTTAAATATCATATGAATTAACCTTGGGGAAGTGATTGAGACCCCCTCCAATCACCACCCCCACCACCCCCCTCACACACATGTAGGGGCTGGTGATTGGAGGAGAAGGAAAAAAAAAAAAAAACTGGTCAATCAGAGAGAGAGGGGGTCATGGGGGTGCCCCCCTTGTGGGGGCCAAGTCATATGATATTTAACTTGAACAAGAGGGCCATTATTTGGGCCCAATTTGTACTTAACCCAAAGATTTATTCCCTTAAGCCCAAGAGATAAGTCCAATAACAAATTTCTTAATACAGGCTCAAAACAAACATAAACTACAGCCCAATATAAGAGCATTTAAATATACTGGCCCCATCATAAGCTATAAAAGACCTACCTTTTCAACTTCAAACAACTTCATTTCCCTCTGATTCGAACTCCTCAGATTATACTCCTTCTTCTCAAGCATTGCTGTTCAAAACCACAGCACCATAAAACTCTAAGCCATGGCGCCCAAAAAATCTTAACCATCTCCATCTGAGGAGAACAATGAAACCATCTCTATTTGAGGAGAACAATGAAGACCTACTCCGCTTTCCAGACCTTATCAAAGCACGTATTGCTCCTCTAAAATTAGGTATTACCCTATTACCCAGCACAAGCTCTGTCGCTAAGGCTACTCTAGGCCCTACCTTCGCGTCTTACTTCCCAGACGAGCTAGCTCCATACCATCCCCTTGGTAATGGTGAGAACCTTCTTTTCAACCAACCTGGACTTAAGTGGACTAACTGAAATGTCAACAAAAACCCATTCAGATCGTGAAGGTCACCAGACTCTGTTTGGCAAAACTAGGCCAGGAGAATTGAAGGTCATGACGCTGAAGTATGGAAGCACCAGGGCATTAGTGAAGTAATTAGATTGTTGACTAAAAATTATGACATGGACAAAGGGCTAATTTCTGCTGCTGCATGCTTTTGGTCGCAATCTTATAACTCCCTACTCCTCAATTTTGGTATGATTTCCCCTACCATCTTAGATGTAGCTCACTTGACTGGTCTTCCAATCTTGGAAAATCCAATTCATGCTCTCTTTAAGCCTCCAAAAGTGACCTTTACTTTAAACACTGACATGTGCTATATAGAATTTTCCAAAAAATACAAAGGCGAGCCTGGTTCCCATGACGAGGACAAAGAAAGAACTGCTTTTTACTTACTTTGGCTTTGTGAGTTTGTTTTTTGTATCCCTGGGTACAAGATCACGAAGGAATACCTTCCCCTTGCCTTGTGTATGCAAGATGGCCAACCTATGGCTTTAGCCCCTTATCTTCTTGCCACCCTTTATAAGGCTCTATTTTCCTTTGTCGACAAGAACATTTCTGGCAACTGTGGTGGCCCCTTTTGGCTCTTCCAAGCCTAGTTGCATGCCTATTTCTGAAAACATACAAGTCATGTACCATATCTTATAAATACTTACAGCGTAGTGTTCTATAATATTATGAATTTGTACATTTCTTTAAAATAGTAGTAAGTAAAATAAATCATACATATATTCCTACAAAATGTCTGATTTGAACAAGATTGAAACTATTGTTGAGGCTCATGTTGCTTCTGTATTGCAGCAGTTGCAAGATATCTACGAAAGGCTGAATGAAGTGGACATACGGTTGTCAAGTTTGGAGCGGCAAGTCGGCGCTATGAAGCAGAACGTTGATTGGCTGACCGGTGAGAAATTAGCAGCAGATGAAGCGAACTCTGATAAGACAATGGATGAGGACAGTCAATCAGACAGTACGGACAACTCTTTAGAAGATGCTGTTGATGATACAGTAGATATGTAATTTTTTTTTTTTTTTTAAACCTTCCCTATATGACGTTGCATTTTTTGTTTTGGCTGGAGTCATATGTGCTAATGGGCTGATATATAAATTACCTACAAAGAGTATTGATTTTTCATTCATATGTAGTCTTCAAATACTTATGATTTACTGTAAAACGAGTAACAATTTGACTACTACATAAATAATTGAGTTCTGTTAGGGACCCAAATAAATTAGCAAGCAAATTACAAAATTGGTGACATAGGTGTCCGACTCACACAAATCACACGTGGATGGGCCCCACACCCGTGTCAGATATTTCGTAAGTTACTTGGTAATGTACTTGGGATCCATAACATTTTGATGTCAACTTACACTGGCAACAATTTCCTTGGAATATGAAAGACATCAATGGAAATAGGGAATTACAATTTCCGCCAACTTCTGACATACAACAGTACGAAGAAGGAAGATAGTATGATTATGACTAGGGAGCAAGTGTAAAACAATTTCCGTCAACTTCAAATTATTTTTTTATTACAGTTGCGACATCAAAGTTATGCTAACAAATTGGGCAGCAAGTACATTCCTCAAAATATGATTAAAAAAAACAGTCGTAAATTATATTTATTTCAGTCGCATTCATCTAAACAAGAAACATGCGTAAACAAAATAGTAATAAGACAGCAGCCATATCGACATATTTGATCCATGTTTACATTTGACTTGCACCTTGCAGTTAGTCCATCTTTACATCGTCCAACAAAAAAAATACTGGGGAGCCATAATTAACATCCATATTGAAATCAAAAAATAAAAAATTAGTGAACTCCTGTTGCCACCCAAATTACTGGCGTACTGGCAGCCCATTCCCATCACTGGCCTAGCTTGTGGCATTGATGATATCAAGGCACTCCCGGTACTCTGCGACCTTTGCATTATTGACATCCATAACGATGTCAACCAACAACTTATGACGCACAGAGGGATGAAACTTTGTACAGAAAGATCATAAGACAAATCAGTTAAAATTGTAGGACATATGAGGAAGGATTTGATTGACAAATGGAAATGAAGTGGTAGAATGTACCTTGTGTGGACCGGGGCTTAAATCAGGTCGTTCTATGAATTTGATGACGAATATCCCACAGTCAAACGTG